CGCTACCTAAACCCTTTCACATAAACCCAGCGTGTTGGTTCACTCATTTTTCAGGTGTTTCTTCACGAGCCCCAGGAGAACGGTCGCACCACGCTGTGCAGTTCAGTTTCTCTGAGGCGACTGTTGTCGTTAACTCTCTGTTCATCAGGAGAGCACACCTGCCACGGGCCTTCGGTGGTGCCGTCACTCCGTACCCTGACAGACGGCTTGTTTGCTCACTGTCACATTACAACCGTGCGAGCACCATTTTCATATCCTTTGGGGTTTCCTTTTGCACCAAGAGCCTGCGGGAGTTTGCTGTTATGGTGACTCTTAACAACTACAAACACGTATTTCTCTTGGGACTACTGTAATATCACTGCTACAGTGGCAGCTGCATTTTGTAGGACAATTTCCTCATTGTTTCCTTTTACATTGCAGTACCATCTACAAGCCACAGTAAGAGTCATAACGAGGTGGGTGCTTTACAGACACAGTGTCCAAAGAGCTAAATGTTTAAATTAATTAAACATAGAAATCATAGGAATCACAGAAATCTGTTTTTTTTTTCAAAGTACTGAGTTAAACTTCCTGTGGAGGACAATTTTCCTGAATCAAAACAGGTTGCTTTAATCCGCCTTTGTTGTTGATATGAACACTGAGTGGGGACCCGACAGAAGTGGGCTCAGAATATCACTCTTTGTTGCTGCTGAAGAGCTAAAGAACATCATTTACGTTTCTAAATCTGCTAGGAAGGTGTGACAATGTCTTCCATCTAGTGCTTCACTACAAAAAAATGGGAGACAGAGAAGGAGAAAAGTGAAAATGTTGGGTTTGATTTCTCTTAATTTTTATACAGAAGTAAATCCAGTAATCCTATCCATGAATTATTCCTGATTTATGCTGATGTAAGTGAAAGAATTCAGATTCTTCATTCAATGCATTTGTTCTTCTAGCCCAGGAAAATCTAAAATTGAAAAGCCCATTATAACATCAAGAATAAGCCACTCTCCATCTTTACAGTCTCCATTTTATTGCTGCTGGTTGTGAAGGATCTCTGATCACAAAAAGGATGTAGATGAGGAAAAGAAATGGTTTTAAAATGCCGTTTTGGTTGCCTGGGCTATGTGAGGGTAAAATGAACATTAAATATACTTAGAATCTGCACAGCCCATGTACAGACAGATACAGCTTATATTCCTGAGTACAAATAATACCTACAAAATATACCAGGTATGCAACTGAACCAATCATCACTGGTGCTGTGTACTACTTAATTGGTGGGAAAAACAGAGAATTTTTTGGAAGAGCTGTTTCACCACTGTGTTCTGCTCGATAATTTTTTATAGGCTTTTCCATTTGGGTTTCCAAATGTTTCTCTGGAATAACATATTTCCTTGTGTTCTGCACATCATTTTCTGTTGTGCCTGTGGAGGGCACAATGGGAGTCAGTCTTTCAGCCAGTTCACTTTCCACATTGTCAGCCATATCTTTCCAGATATTTTCTGTAACAATAAATAAATAAAATGATAGGGTGAGATTGCAGACTCTTAGCAGCAGATAAACACATGATCACCACAAATTCACAAAAAATCAGTTGAGTATTTTCTCTTATTTTCACCTTACTTCAGAGAGATGATATCAAATATTAAGAAATACCAAACACTGATATAAATTCACTTAGTTCTCCAGGTAGCACATGCTTACGAATATTCTCTTTTTTCTTTTCTGGTGTAGACAAAGAGCCATCGCTCAGCTTCCTTGAAGTCTGTGTTTTCTGTTTTGCCCTGTATATTTTTGGTTCCTGGATCCATGCATGCTTCATCGCTTCATCTGGAGTCATGCGCAGGGAAGGTTCCCACCTTAAATGCATGGTAAGCAAATAATTATTTAACAGCAGCTCTAACTGAAAGTCAGTTTAAATAAAAGATTCGCTATTGTCTCATGAAAATCATGTAATGAAGACATTTTTTGAAACAAAAAAGTTTTAACTGAAAACAAGGAAAAATCTTAAGCAATCTTCTCCAGCCTTCTAAACTTTTTATTTACTTCAAAACTGTGTGCTTTGCTGGTGAAACCTTCTGCAGCATCAAACCATTTTCAAAGGCAAAAATATGCAGTTCACAGTGTTATCAGGGTAGGGATCCTACGGAATACTTGTTTCAAGGTTTTCACGTCTTGTCAATACAAGCTCCAAGGAAGGAAACACAAATGAGACAGAGTAATTCATTAAAAGATATGTCTTCCCTAATTTAACTGCACCTGAAACTACTGTAGAGAAACTACAGTAACAAAACTCATGTGAGATCTTATTATGGAAAGGAAAGGTGATTTTTTAAAAAAAAATCTCTACATTGACTTTAACTTCTCACAGGTTTCATTCACTCAGTTCTCACACTCAGAAACTCACAAGTGTTCTGGCCAAGACTACTTGTGTATCACACAGAGGACAAGGATTGTCAGCTACTGAGTTCTCATCACATCTCTGGGGTTCTTCTTGATTGGTGATGATGTACTAGTTTTTAGACAGATCTTCTATATCCTTTAGGAGTCATCTGCTGTTTGGTCATGGTCCTTCACATCAGTACCTTGCTGACTTCTGTCTCCATAAATGTTAGGAAGATAGGGTCTGCTTTTCCTTGTATTTTGGAATACATGTTTGTTTTCCTTTTGGGCTAACAGGAAAATGTACGGCATATGTGATATTCTGCAACCTTGTTGCCATGAAATAGCTGTGAGCTTTGAGATTTTTCACTGCTGGTCACCTGTGCTGTGGTCTCACCAGAGTGCAGGCTTCCTGGTTGTGACACAAGCAACACACTCCCCAGTTTTACAGGTGGGAGCAGTGTCTTTTGTTACTAATACATGCCATTCTTTCAACCCCTGTTCTGCTGTTTGTTCCGGTGCTTAAAAACACATACACATCCATTCGTACTGCATTCATATCAATCTTAATATTTCTGTTACTAATCTCTAAATCAGTTGCAAATTATTTTTTTCTGATTTGTCTAATCTCAGTGTTTTCCAGAACTGTACGGAAATTACACAGGAAAACAACAGATTCTTGTTATCACTACGAGCTGGGTGGATTTTTTTTGGTCTGATGTTTTCATCTGCAAAACAGGTGTATGCAAGTTCAACAAAACTATTTGTGAAGTCATAGCAAATGTATCAGGCTGCTTGGGACAAACACAGATTTGCAACTGAAAAAGACACACTAGTTCAATTCGTTTTGTCTCAAAAAGAGTTTTCATTTCAAGCCTTACTTCATTCCTTTGAAAATTTAAACAATCCCAACATATAACATTTTTTCTGTGTGACCTGAAGTGACTCGTTTACAGGTTTTTTTGCTTCACTGAAATTATTTCTTAAATGTTCTGATTCAGCCAACAAACCAAAAGGGATCAATGATTCATATAGATTCAGCAAACACAGAACATTGAAAGCAAGCTTCTTGTGAAACAGAGAGGGGTGTTTGTTTTTCTTTTTTTTTCAGGTAACCACAAGTTAGCATGGATTTCTTTAGGAAAGTACTACTGAAGTGCTAGAAAGAAACTTACAGCCAGTGCTAAAGAAGACACAAAATATTAGTGTTGCGTAAGATACAAGTAACACTGGAAAAGGTATGAAACCAGCTTCTGCTGCCATTGCACAGTGCAAATTAGGATCCAAGCTCACTCTGAAAGCTTTACTGCACCTATGTAAGAGGTTGGTATTTGAGGCAACCAGACAAAAGTTTTTTCGTGCATGCTCAGTCTTTTATTTTGATGGATGAGCAAAACCTCATTAGTAACCACCTCTCAAAAGACCTATCAGTAAAATAACACTTCATATCAGCAGGGTCTATGGATTGTCACCCTCTAAAACGCTTAGCAACCTGACTTTCTCGGAAAAGACATATCATCATGTTTGAGACATGAAATAGCTTACCTCTCCCACAATACTTCGTTTATTAAAAAGTCCCATTTCCTTTGTAATAACAGATGATATGCTGGTGACATTAAATCAAGTCTCTCTTCTCCCACACAAACACACAGACGCTTTGCCACTGACACTTTCACCATCAATATGGTTTGCTATTGGAACAGATTTCCCCAAGAGGCTGTGGATCTCCCTCTTCAGAGATACTCAGAACCTGACCGGACAAGGTCCTGAGCAACTTGCTCCAAGTTTGCTCTGCTTTGACTGGGAGGGTGGGCTAGATGACTTCCAGAGGTCCCTTCCAACCCAAATTATTCTATGATACTAGGTAAAAAGTTCCTGGCATAGAGAATCTGTAGAATTTCTACCTTGTGTGAAGACTGTTAATAATTACTTGTTATTTGTATTTAACAGTTTACAAAATGTGCAAACCATCAATTTCCTTTAAGGAAACAGCTGTGGACCGCTTGTCATACTAGGTATTCAGTAGCAAAACCTTTGACTGGAGTAAAGTCAACAATTTAACCTAGAAATTACAGGATCTGAGACAAATTAGACTCTTTTCATGCTCTGAGCTCCAGTGATTTATAAAAATCTATTCCAATAAAGAGAATGAAAAAATACAATCTGTCAAATAATTGTTGAAACGTGCAATGTGACTGCTGTCAATGAAAAATAAGTATAACTGTGATAGGGAGAAAAAGGGCTTAAATCAGCATGTAAACTACAAGGTAACACGCTGGTTACTGTGCAAAGTAATTGTCCACGTTAACTACCACAGCCAAGAAGCCGCAAGCAAACAATACCATTGATTCTGGGGTGGAGACATGGCTGAATGTACTCTGCCTTTTTATCCTCTGGTAATGGGGAGATGTATCGTGTATTGGAACTAAAAAGAGTCTAATCTCACCCAGGGGAACATGCATGCAGCAAGCAAGATCTTTGTGAGCAGATACTCAACGAAGCGGAACTGTTTTCATACATATACCACAATGTATCACCTGATTGCCATTTCCAAGGCCCAGCACACAAAACATAAGTCAAGACATTCAAGCCAGCTAAGGCAGCTCCAAATATAACTCCTGCTAGAGGAAACTGGAATATTTTCTTCCCACTGGAGCAGGAGTTAGATTTGAGTATAAAACCAAACTTTGATCTCCGAATATGCACTGCCTTGGGACAGTGCATTACCATTATCTGTGTTACCTGACTGAACCTTTATCTCAGATAAAAGAGAAAGGATCTAATACAAAGGCCTCAATAGGTAAAAAACATTGCTTTTAGTCTCCAGCATCAGAAGATTAAGATCTGCTTTTAGATCTGATAAAGTCAACCTTCTTATGTATTTTGGCCTAATCCCATATAGTCTTTTTGTGCAATAATTTCTCCTTACAATAAGTTGTGAATAAATATAGTTATCCTAATGCTACTGTGGAGAAAAAACAAACAAACAAACAAACAAACAAAACACCCCACCAAAAAAACCTAACAGATACAAAGACCTTAAAGGCACAAGAGAATGAAAGTAAAGTCAAAACTAGACTGTTGCATATAAGTCAAAACTATGAACTCACATTAGGCATCCTTTCAGGAAGTCCAAGAAATCAGCATCATGGGTTTTCAACACTGTGCTTAAATCCTTGGAGTCTGGGCACCTCTTTTTGCCCTTGCTGTTAGTTATGGATTTAGGAAAACCTTTTGAATCTTAAAAAAAAAAGAAAGATATGCTCAAAAATTACTTAAAAATTACCATATCTTTAAGAGAGTTGCAAAACCAGTATCTGTATCTATCCCACTAACTCTGTTTTTGCCCTGTTAGATTAATAGTCTGCCAGCACTGTGGCAGATTGGTTACATCCTAGAGACTACAACCTACACTGTGGGTTTTTCTTCATTTTGTGTAATTTCAAAAACCAAATTATACCCAGAGGAATTATCTTAATCCCAAAGACCACTGCATTCCTTTTAGCAACAGCATTTTTAAGGAGTAACAGTGAAATGGGTTTCCCAATCCCTTCCCTTTCACCTTCACAATGAGAGGCCCATAAGACATGAACAACACAGTACCAGGTTCATTTGTAGGCCTTTTGTTACCCTTCTGCTTATCCTCCCTATGTCTTCCCGAAAGAAGTTTTGCCAGCTAAGAAGCAGCTAAAGTTCTCTGACCCCATTCTCTTACCAGTGCTATTAACTAGCGACTAACTAGCAGGGAGGAATCCAGCAAGGACAAACAACTAGAAGCAGTTACCAAAGAACGTTCTCTTCCTTGATGCAGCCTGGATAAAATCAGCTGGTGGAAGACCCAAGACCTTCAACACAGAAAATGAATTTAATGTAATTACTCTTCATTTCAGAATCATACATGACAACAGCCAGGTGAGATGAGGTATTGCACCCTCCTCCATACGAAAAGAAGTTGAATGTAGCAGTTTACTGTGAAACGTTAAGAAACCATTTCTTTTTCTGCCATTTATTGTGGAAGGAATTACGGGATTCCCTAGAGATTTCTTACATAGAAAATATGATCTTATAAGGGATGACACGGGGATCTTCACTACCACAGAAGACTCTAAGAACAAGTATCTCTGTTAATGACACATGTAGGAGGCCACATGGAGACATGGTGTCTTTGAAAAATCTTGTACAAACTAAGATGGCACTAGAAGGATCAGAACTTGGGGCAGAGTTCAAGATCATGTTGCAGTTTAGTGATCGGTATGGAATAACTATGTAACTTGCTTGCATGGGTTAGTTTTGCACCTACTCTAACATTTGCACTGGGTAGGTGACCTGAGGAGATGTTATAGTACATTCCTAAAACTCTTGGAACAACAGTTACAAAGATGACAGAACCAAACTCTTTAGCAGGGGCAGACAGTACAGGAAGGGGCAACATCCACAAACTGTGGCTTGAGAAGTTCAGTGTGACTATTAGGAAAAACTTTTTCACCAGGAGAATAGAGCAGCAGTTGAGCAGGTGATCCAGAGAGTTTCTATTCGAGCCTTTGAGGTTTTCAAGATTTGCTAGACAAAGACACAGCTGACTAATTGAATGCTAGCAAAAATATCTCTCTCAGCAGGAGTTTGGACTAAAGAGATTGAATTCAACCAACACATATTTGATTTCTGAGAAGATAAGCCTATTATAATTGGATTGTTTTTTCTTCCCCTTACATATGCTTTTTCTGTCCTAACTTCTCCGTACAAATTCTGATCAGATTATAACACGTTTCTTTCAGAAGCAGTGTTTGGCACATGAAATGAAAATAACAGTTTTGCCTTAGAGCCCATCCTTTCAAAGAGCCCTTTGGCAGTAATAAACCTCCTTCTAAAAGGCCAGCTCGTAGACAAATACATTTCATCATTTCTCTTTGTTGCTGGCAGTGTAGTTTATCAAATGAGTATGTAATTCAAAAGACAGTCCCAAAACTTACCTCCATGATGCAGGCAAGCTGGTCAATTTCATTTTCCCCTGGAAACAGTGGGTAGCCTGTGTAAAGTTCAGCCATGATACAGCCTAAGCTCCACATGTCAACAGCCATAGCATAAGGATGACCAAGAATCACTTCAGGCGAGCGATAAAACCGGCTCTGAACATAGGTGTACACTATATCAAAACAGAAAATCAGACAAGAAGCAAAATATCATAAATGAGATAGAAATGTGGAGTCCAGATTTCACAGAAAAGTGAAATACATGTTCAGGCATCATGTATCTACTCTATCCATTAGCTGCCCTTACAGGATTGCTCACATAGACTTTGAAAATCTTTTCAAATTCCATCTTAAAATCAATGGGTGATATGTTCTTCAACAAGTTTTACTGAAAGAAATTATTCTACTAATGCTGTGGTTCAGCTTACTCCATGTTTGTTTTCATATTTGGAGGTCTTCCCCTTTTGGCTTGCACTGTAGGAAATACTGATTTCACTGACACCTAGGGAACATCTCCTACTGCCTTCTGATTTCCCCATTAATGCATTATAGCCCCACAGCAGATCTCAAAAGATCTCATTCCAAGATTGGAACTCCTCATAGTGAGCAGACTAATTCTTTAACCTCTTCTCATTCAGAGAACTGAACATGATTACAGCATGCAAGCTCTGTTATTTTCTTATTCCTATTTCCCTGGTGGTCACTTTGTTTACATTTCTGTGCTTCTTTGCATCCCCTTATATTCAACACCTTTCTGGGAGGAAAGTGCTCTGAAAAGTAAGTGCTGCACAATATGCGGTATCACCAAATCTGTACAGTTGGAGAGTCCCACGGTGGCAATCTGTGCCCTTGTGCATTTAACCAACTGTATAATTGTTGTCTGGTTTTTGTCATTCTTGTCACAAATAAAGAGATGACTTTTTGTTTTCTGCTCTCTAATCCTGTAACATTTTGAGGGTTGTACCAATTCTTGTTTCAGCTGACAGTCTCCTCAGTTACGCTCCATCTTTCCCTTCACTTGTTTTGTGTTTCAATTTGTTACTCTCCACAAAAATTTCAGGCTGCATTTCATATTACGTTCTACTTAAGCATGGGCAAGCCTAAAATGTTTACCCGCTCCTACAAAACTGGGATGTAAATCTAATAGGCTGAATCCCAAAACACAGATGAACAGGTTTGGCTGTAATATCCATCTTTCATAGGAATAATATGAGCCACTTAAGACTAGTTGTGCCTTTCTAAGTTAATAAAATGCAGTGCAGATTTCTTCCTTGGGTTTTGTTTTTTGTTGTTGTGTTTGGGTTTTTTGTTTAACAGATGATATTTGCATTCCTGATGGTGATATCATTCTTGCTTTACAGTATGTCTATTAATGCTTATATTTATTATTAGGTGAATTTTTATACATTAACTTCTCGTTTACAAATTTTGTTCTTATTATCTCCTGGACGTTCTACTTAAACCACTGATAGAAAAAAACCCCAAACAACTGAATGTAAAATTTCTAAACTAAAAGCATAGTTCCCATTCCCTCCATTATATCAAACCAAAAAGTAGCAATTATAATTTAATCATCCCACTGAGAAAGGCTCTCTGAATCTGATAAACTCCTTGTTAAGTAAATTATTGGGATTATTCTCATAGGTTTGTTTCAGCTAACCACTCTTGCAAATGCAACTCTGATTTTGAAAGGAGTAGAGATACTGCTTAGGCCTGGGACAAAGAAAAAGCATGGTAACAGCTTACTTGTCTCCTACCAGTATTTGTTCCACCACCAGTGGCTGAACAGTTCATCGAATTCTAATTAGGGGCATAGGTCACTATATTAGCTCAATCAAAGAAATAGTTTTTTCCATATTGCTTAAAATTAAGAAAGCTTATTAAGAAAATTACATCAACTTGACTTTTCTGCAAACCTCTTTGGTGTTCATAGCAGCTTGATCCAAAATCAATAACTTTAACTGAACCTTGGCCTTTGTGGTATAATAATATGTTCTCCTAAAGAGAGAGAAAAACAAAATCACAGGAAAAAAAGGGTTTTAACACCACATTAGGTTAGTGAACACTCTGGAAAAAAAGCAATGCATAACACATTGGGTTTACACTTATCTGCATAATAAAAGCTTAAAACTACAACTTCCTTTGGAATGAGTTTGCTAACAAGAATAGTCATCAAATAAGGTGCAATTAACCAAAGCAGTGGGGAGATTTGTAAAGGTACCCAGTTTGAAGGTCAGCTAGACAGAGACACTAATCCCTCAGGTACGATCCAAGCCACTGCACTGTGCAATATGTGGTGCTATCAAGGCACCAGCCAGTGAGAACACTTGCCGTGTGAGCAGAGCGAGCTCCCAAAAACTCCTTGTTGTTAATCTGGTTAAAGGCAAGCTGCATCTGGTTGCATGTTGCGCTAAATTAACCAGAACCATCCTTTTTGTACCCATAGAAAGCCCCTGCCCCATGAACGAGTTGTACTTCACAGTTCTTCCCTCGATCGCTTTCAACCTGCTGCGGACTCTCTGTAAGCATACACGACCTCACCACAGTGCGATGAATCGAAATGATAGGGTCCTATGGATGATTAACTGGATGCAGATGGGTACAGCACTGTGTGCCTACAATTCCAGTTTGAGAAGTGATTCTTAAACAGCTAGCTCAGGAATATTTGCACTAATGAGTACACATACATAGCCTATTAGCTCTCTTCTGCAGAGTTGAATTTTATCTTCATGAAAAATCTATCTAAATCAAGGATTTCCTTTGTTTTCCTTTCTGATCATACAGTCTTCCTCACCTCTCAGCAGAGAGATGGCTACCTTTGTTCACCAGTTTTAAAGTGATTATACATCACAGCTTTGAAGGACTGAGTAGTTCCTAGGTTGATGCCAAATAATGACAAAGTAGTTTCTTGGGTAATTAGTGGACTTGTAAGGAAATATTGTGTGTGACAGGAGGAAGAAGCTGCTACTGATGAACGTCAAGGCAAAGGCTGACTTCCATTACCCAGGTGCTCTTGGTTCTGTTATGGGAAGAAATAGCCTCTCTGCAACTAGCTATCCCTTCATGCTCATGGTAAGACTCTGTCTCTAACATTGAATCTCTCACAATGTAAGGGAGCTAATTAACTGCAAAACCAGGTTTCTAGAGACAGTGATTACATAGCATGAAATCCTGAGAAACTCCACACTCTACCTTATGTTGAGAAATATCATAGGAGGCAGACGGAATAACAGATGTGAGTTTCAGGCAACATAAATTAAATTAATGACACTGTACAATTGTAGAATGAGAACAAAATTATCTTTTAGTTAACTCAGTGAACGTTCAGTAAGATGTTACTCTATTTAAATATAAACTACACTCATTGATCTTGCCAACCTCATTCCTTGTCAGTGGCTGCCTGGAAACAGGTTTCCCATTGGGCTAATTGTTTCTGATTAAGATATTGTGGTTATCTTGCAAGCCTCACTTCTCACTGAAAATCGGTCTGGCAAAGATGTTGGCAAGACAATGGGTATGTGACAGTATGTGACTCTTCAGTCAAGATACATTAAGAAAAGTGAGAGTGGAGTTTCATCTCAGCATTTTTACTTGAGAGCCTATTTATTTATTTATTTATTTGTTTGTTTGTCTATTAACATTTTGAAAAAGAAATCAAGAGAAACGTTCTCCTGAAATGAAAACAGAATGAAAATACTTCAGAAATCCCAGAAAATTGCAAAAAAATTTAAGACTGGGGCTTAAGGAGAATGGAAATGTTTCACCTAACAAGAATGCTTAGCAGATAGAGCAGCAGG